GGTTGGTCTTACTTTTGCCAAAACACACGGCTCTCTCCCTTCAGCAACCAGATCATAATTCATCTTCAGTAGCTGTTACATAACTCACACTTTGTGATGTGTGATTGAGTCTTTCCCTGTTTAATATCAGCTCCTTCATTAGAGATAAGCTCCCCTAGGACAAGGCCACCTCACTTGTCCAGCTCACCAACAATTAGCACCTAATTGTTAGCATTCCCTAAGATATGTTCATAAAAGGAGAGTTTGGCTGGAGTAGGAAAGGAGGGAAGATGAAACGTGAAGTTGCTATTCCCAAAATGTAACCTGGGCCCATTATATTATTATATTAATATATTATTATATTAGAGGTAAAATAACCAGAGGGATAATGGTCAATCCTTCCCCCCTGTGGAGGCAAATGCCAACCTGAGCTAGAGGCTTCAAGCCAGGAGTATGGCCTCCTTGCCCAGGCTGCTGGGCTGGCTCACCTGTGGCCAAGTGACCTCCTACTCAGCCTGGATTCTTACCCAAAGAGCTGGTGCTCTGGGATGGGGGAATCCCTGCCAACTCTGCAGCTTCCCTTCCACCATCCCACCCACAGCTTTCAGCCACTCCACAGAGCAGTCTATGGAAGCATCTCTGCTGGTTGCCATGGAGAAAGGAAACAGGAAGGGGTGAAACACTGCCCAGGAGGTCCTGGAGCCAAAGAGGAGGCTGGATGACCACATTAACATGGAAGTGAGACAGAGCCGGGACCTTCTTGGCTCCTTGTGCAGTCATGAGTGGCCCTGGTCTGAGCTCTAGGAAGATGTGGACGAGATGGACAACTATCAAAATACCCATGTGCTGTTCCCCAAGGGCTTCCTGTTGAACATAGAGCCCTGCCACAGAAGTGGATGAAATCAAAGTTTTTCTGTGGAATGCTAGAAATTTCACACAGAATCTTCTAAAAGAAGAGATGGCATTAAACAGAGAACCAGAAAAATTTTAGCATTAAGAAAATGATCAAGATTTTTTTCAACTTTGCAAAGACACGATTTGCCCTCAGTTCACACTTTTCCTAACTGACATCTGATGTTTTTCTTCAACCTTAGCAACACGTAGGAGGACAATAATTCATAAAACATTCCAGCGAATAGCCCTAGTAGGATGATATTTGAAGATACTGATTTTATTCTGTTTCTAGAATTTAAATCCATTTAAATTAGATTTAGTTTAAAACTAGTTGCCATAGAGTCAACTCCAACTCATGGGGACCCCGCATGTGTCCGAGCAGAACTGTGCTCCGTGGGTTTTCAAGGGCTGATTTTTCACAAGTCAATCACCATGCCTTTCTCCCAAAGCACCTCTGGGGGGACTCCAACCTCCAACCTTTCAGTGAGGAGCCAAGTGTGTTAACCTTTTGCCCCACCCAGGAACTCCAAATGCTTACTTCTATTTAAGAAAGATCATTCGGAGTCTTTCAAGCACAGCACTTCTATATGTAGAATGGGTGTTAACGTTTGCTATTGGGCAATCTACTTCCATAGTGATACCACCTCGGAAACCCAAGGAGGGGTCACTATGAGTCGGGTCCGACTCCACGGCACATAACCACAACAACAACAACATAGAGGAAAGTGCAAAGCCACACACAGATGTTGCTGTCCAAGCTATTTATGGGAGCAGTGTTAGCTCTAGAGAAGACAGTGAACCTCCAGCTTGCGTGGCTCTCCTGAAGCCATCTCGCTTCTCCTAGGTGGCAGAAGCAGAGCTGGACATCCTATTCATTCGGTCCTCCTTGCACAAAGGGAAGACATAACCTTTCCAGTATGAGTTGAAGGCTCTGGAAACGCATCCCGAATTGCAGTATGGGGGTTGAGGAGCTGCTAACCCTGATGGCTGAAGAATGAATTGCCACTAATGGGCAGAGGTGTCTCTGCACAGCTGTGGAGGGGGTGAGCTGGGGACAAACAAAATAGGCAAGAAAAAGATGCTTTTTAGCTTGAAAATGAAGCAAGAGAAGATCAGGGAATTAAGTCTTGATTGCATCCATTGCACAGGGAGAAAACAGCAAAACAATTTAATTTTTAATTCTTCTCGAGTTTTCTGGCTAGGCAATATTTCCAGAGAAAAATAAATTGCTGGTAAAAAGGGACTCATGTAAATCTGGGAAATAGGAAGGCTGGGGGAAGGTTTGATGATAGTTGACAGCAGGGATATGATATTTCAAATGGCTGTGTGCCTGGTTGAGTAATGACTGGTTTTGGAGGAGTGGTTTGATCTGTTCTATTTAGAAGATATTTGGAAGCCATGAGAATTTTAACAGGATCCCCCATGCTTGTGCAGTACTACGGTGGTCTAACAGCATGAAATGTGTTGGGACCTATTTTGAAGAGGAAACTATGGGAAAATTGGATACTAATTTCCAAATATGCAAAACACTGTTCTTTAGAACAATGATTCCCCAAATTTGGTCAATCAACTACCCCTGATTTTTTCCATGTCCTAACACCACTTGCTCTTAGCCACTTAGTGTCTTCTTCAAAGGATCTCAAATTAGACTTTTCCTTTAAAGAAAATGTTGCATCAATAGCTTAAATGCCCTAGAAAGAAACTCTAATAAATATATATAATGAAAATGAGACTGTACTTAATTTGTGCCAAATACACGAGTCCTTAGGTGTGCAAATGGTTAGTGTGTTTGGCTCCTAACCAAAATGTCAGAGATTTTTCAGTCCACCCAGAGGATCTTGGAACAAAGGGCTGGCAATCTACTTTTGAAAAATCAGCCATTGGAAACCCTACTGAGCTCAGCTCTATTCTGATGCACATGGGGTTGCCATGAGTCACTATTGACATAGCAGCAATTGGTTCTTCACTGTTGTAGCAGAGAGCTCTAAGATTGGTCTCACTTCATTATAACAAGAAAGAGCAAGAGTCATAAGTGTTAGGGGGCTCTGGTAGCATAGTGCCTAAGGCACTTGACTGTTAACCAGAAGGCTGGTGGTTCAAACCCACCAGCCACTCCTCGGAAGGAAGGTTGGGCAATCTACTTCCATAGTGATACCGCCTCGGAAACTCAAGGAAGGGTTGCTATGAGTCAGGTCTGACTCAACGGCATATAACAACAACAACACAACAAGTGTTAGTGAATCTTAAAGCTCAGAAGGGCCCTGTGCTTGAGACTTGCATTCAAGTTCCAATTTGGGCATGTGGGAGAAGTTATTATTTATTTATTATTATTTATTTAGCTTTGCTAAATATTATTTTCCTTATTTCAAAACCAGATATGCATATCTTAAAGATTAAGTGGGATCATGAAAGTAAGGCATATTTCAAAGCCTAAACCAAAAATAAAAAAAACCCAAACCCCACTGCCAGGGAGTCGATTCTGACTCATAGTGACACCATTGGGTTTCCAAGGCGATAGATCTTTATGGAAATAGATTGCCCCATCTTTCTTCTGCAGAGTGGTGGATGGGTTTGAACCACCAACCCTCTGGTTAGCAGCCAAGTGCTTTAGACACTGACCCACCAGATCTCCATATTTCAAGTCCGCCAAACTAAACCAAACTCACTGCCATTGAGTTAATCCTACTCATAATGATCCCTCCTTGGGTTTCCAAGGTGGGAAGTTTGGGCAACCTACTTCCATAGTGATAGTGCCTTGGAAATGCAAGGAGGGGTCGCTATGAGTCAAATCAACTCGATGGCAGTGAGATGTTGAGTTTTTAATCTCTACAGACATAGATTGCCCAATCTTCCTTCTGAGGAGTGGCTGGTGTGTTTGAACCTCCAGTGTTCTGGTTAGCAGTCAAATGCCTAAGGCATTACGGCACCAGAGCTTCCATTTCAAGGCCTAGTAACCAATAAACTATGCTAGAACTGGGTCTTGAATATGGGTCTTCTCAACCTGACTTTGGTATCCTTTCTCTACCCATATCCCATACAGACAAGATGCATTGGAGATGTGCAACTGTTTTCCAGGTATTAATTTATCATGATAAGTGGAGAAAAGATGGAAGTCATCAATGATTTCATTTCATTTGGATCCACAATCAACGTCCATGGAAACAGCCATCAAGAAATCAAATGACATATTGCATTGGGCAAATCTGCTCCAAAAGATCTCTTTAAAGTGTTAAAGAGCAAAGATGTCACTTTGAAGACTAAAGTGTGCCTGACCCAAGCCATGGTCTTTTGAATCACCTCATGTGCATGTGAAAGCTGGACAACGAATAAAGAAGATTGAAGAATTGATGCATTTGAATTACGGTGTTGGTGAAGAATACTGAATATACCTTGGACTGCCAGAAGAATGAACAAATCTGTCTTGGAAGAAATATAGCTGGAATGTGCCTTAGAAGAGAGGATGGCAAGACTTTCTCACGTACTTTGGTCATATTCTCAGGAGGGGTCAGTCCCTGGAGAAAGCTATCATGCTCGGGAAAGCAAAGGGTCAGCAAAAAAGAGGAAGATCCTCAAGAAGATGGATTGACACAGTGGCTGCAACAGTGGGTTCAAGTATAGCAAGGATTGTTCAAGTATGGCAGGGCCAGGCAGTGATTCACTCTGCTGTAAACAGGTCCCTATGAGTCAGAGCAGATTAGATGCACCTAATAACAATATCACTTTAATAATTTCCACATTTAGTCTATTGTGCGTGACAAGGACACAAATGCACATGGATCATGTAAGTAGTGTGAAGACGAGGGAAAAAAAAACCCAAACGCACCGCTATTGGGTCATTTCTGACTCATAGTGACCCCCATTGGGTTTCCGAGACAGTAAAGCTTTATGGAAGTAGATTGCCTCATCTTCTGTCCACAGAGCAGCTGGTGGGTTTGAACCACCAACCTTCTGCCAAGCTGTCAGATGCCTTAGGCACTGTAACACCAGAACGCCTTAGTGTGAAAACATCATTAGGTAAATTTTCAAAACGTGCCCCATTCTCTCTATCAAAATTACTAGCTTCTCTGGATTTTACATTGGTCTGGGAACAGATGGTTGCCCCTAGCCATTAGGGGATTCTAACTCACTGTATTCATCGCAGTGGTAAGAATCCAGCCTTCTGAGCCCCTCCAACCAGATGTCTTCACTTGGGGGAGGGTCAGCATCACCAAAGATATTTCCATGGAGCCAGGATTTAGAGGCACTGAGATGGAAGAGAGAAGAAAGGGAACGGCGACTCCTCTTTTTTTTCCTAAATATTCTGGAGAGAAATGAAAAGAATATGATGAAAACTGATTATCAGTGACCTCAAGTCCAAAACAGAGAATTTAGTACACATGATTTGACACACAGAACACAGCTTTACAGCCCAAGTCCGCGGAGCTGATTTCATTTGTTTACTCCATTAATCCTACAGATATTTCCAGAATTTCTACTGCCTATCTGGTCTGGGCTTAATGTCAAGGATAGGATACTGAGATTAATGACAACTTTGTGTACAAAAACCTCACATTCTAGGATGAGAGAAAGACAAGAATATTATAAATATAATTAATGCTTAAAACCGAAAGACTCAAACCAGTTGCCCTTGAGTCAGTTCTGATTCATGCACCTCATATATGTGAGATAAGCACCGTGCTCCTTTGGGTTTTCAGTGGCTTATTTTTCAGAAGTAGATCTCCAGGCCTGTCTTCCTAGGTGCCTCTCAGTGGATTTAAACCACCAACTTTAAGGTTAACAATGAGTGTGAAACCAAGTGGCGTCAAAGTTCAACCTGTATTCCTGGTTGGAAAATTACTCAGTTCCTTAAAAGCTTAAATAGGATGAAAGCTCAACTATTTCCTCCACCCTGGTAAGACAGATAGGACCCAGTTGGAGACAGATGAATAAACACAATAAAATAAATAAATAAACACAATAAGCTCAGTTCCTTAAGAACTGAATACAACAAAAAGCCAATTTGCACATTCTTTCCTGCTATTCCCCTAGAAACAGGTGATAAGCACGTTAATGTGTCTCAGAAGACAACTTGAAAATTAACTTTGGCCCACAGACATGCGCAGTGGGACAGAGAGAAACAAAGTTCCTGGGAACTGACATTCTCCCCTCTGCCTAAGCCCGGATCAACTGGTGACAGGAAGCCGGTGTGACTTATCTGGTGCGCAAGCATACTGCATTAAGAAATGACTGTCCCTTTAAACCAAGGCAAAGGAAATTTCAGCCAATCATCAACAATATCATGCTCAAATTCCTGAAATTTTTATGAATATGCATAACCCTCTCTCCTGAAGCTTACAAAAACTTTAATTAGATTTAGATTTGGGAAGTCAGATTTGGGTAAAGACCCATCTCCTTGCATTGCCACTTTGCAATAAATAATTTTCTCTCCTCTTAATCACTCAGTATGCAAACTGTTTTGGCCTGACTGCGTACTGGGCAGGGATCTGTGTATGTTTGATCTGATTTCAAGTGCACCACTCAGGGACTCCTGATCATACTCCTATAGAGCTTATTCTATGCCACACATCTTTCTTGTTGCTGTTGTTGTTGTTGTTAGGTGCGGTCAAGTTGATTCCGACTCATAGCGACCCTGTGTCCAACAGAATGAAACACGCCCGGTCCTGCACCATCCTCACAGTCCTTGCTCTGCTTGAGCCCATTGTTGCAGCCACTGTGTCAATCTGTCTTGTTGAGGGTCTTCCCCTTTTTCTCTGACCCTCCACATTACCAAGCATGACATCCTTCTCCAGGGACCAGTCCTGTCTGATAACATGACCAAATTAGTTGAGATGAAATCTGGCCATTCTTGCTTATAAGGAGCATTCCTGCTGCACTTCTTCCAAGACAGTTCAAACTTCTGGTAGTCCACAGTACTTTCAGTATTCATCACCAACACCACAATTCAAAGGCACCAATTCTTTTTCTGTCTTCCTTATTCATTGTCCACCTTTCACATGCATATGAAGCTATTGAAAAGATCTTGGTTTGGATTAGTCACACCTTAGTCTTCAAAGTGACATCTTTGCTCTTCAACACTTTAAAAAGGTCTTTTGCAGCAGCTTTGCTCAGAGCAATGTAACATCTGATTTCTTGCCTGCTATTTCCATGAGTGGGAGCTCTGGTAGCATAGGGGCCTAAGGCACTTGACTGCTAACCAGAAGGCTGGCGGTTCAAACACATGAGCCACTCCTCGGAAGGAAGCTATCTTGGGCAATCTACTTCCATGATGATACTTGCCTCGGAAACCCAAGGAGGGGTCGCTATGAGTCGGTCGACTAAACAGCACCTAACTGTTAGGCAGAAACATGGCTGGCCAAGTGGGTGAATGATTAAGCCAGGGGGAATTATAAGAACTGGTCAAGCAAGGAAGCGCCTGATTAGAGCCCATATCAAACCCCAGCATGTAACCCTTACTTATGAAAGACCCCAGCACCTGATTCTTACTCACGAAAGCCCCCAACCATTTCCTGCCCACTATGTTAATGAAGTGCTTCAGCTCTACTTCCTGCCCCCATGCAATAGAGTGCTTTAACCTCATTCGTTCCTGTAACACATACCCTGCTCTCAATCCTGTCCACTGAAGAACAGGAAAAGCAACACTATAAAAACCCTTTTCTTTCACCCGGGTGGGGTGATCAGGCCCCTCTCAGGGACCAGGGACCCGTGAACTTTGCCTGGGGGTGCAGAATAAAGCTTTCCTTGCTCTACCTTCTGTGTCCCTTCCCTTCCTTATCGTGACCTTACAATAACAACAACAACAACGTTTCCATGGGTGTGCTTGTGTCTCTTCTCCTCCTCCTATAGGGACACCAGTTATCTTGGATTTAGGGCCCACTCCACTCTAGTATGAGCTTATCTTAAGTAATTATATGACCCTATTTCCAAAAAAAGGAGCTCTGGTAGCATAGGGCCTAAGGCACTTGACTGCCTACCAGAAAGCTGACAGTTCAAACCCACCAGTCACTCCTCAGAAGGAAGTTTGGACAATCTACCTCCATAGTGATACTGTCTCAGAAACCCAAGGAGGGGTTGCTATGAGTTGGGTATGACTCGATGGCACATAACAACATTTCCAAAAAGATCACATTCTCAGGTTCTAGGAAAGCCATGCATTTCCAGAGGACACTATTCAATCAAATACGCTATCCCTTATCTGCATTGTGGTAGTTAAGGTTGTATGTCAGCTTGGCTGGGCTGGTTTTGAGTGGCTGGACAGTTGAATGTAGTTATTCCCCATGATGAGACTGGTAATCAACTCCATGGTGTTGCACATATGACAACTGTGTTGTCAGTGATGGTAAACATTGATCTACAGGTGGGTACATGGGTAGACAGGCTGAATGTTCAGGCTGAATGATAGGGTTGGGAAACAATGTTTCTTCAAGTGTATTTGTACGCTTGTATGCTTGTACTTAGCTGTGAACAGCTAAGTAGTTGCCTTCAGGGTGTGGCCTTCTTCCAGGAAGTATATAAGGAGAATCTTTGAGAAAGGTGGCACATTTGGATGTTGCACTCTGGATTTGGACTTCTAGCTTCCTAAACTGTAAGAGAATAAATTCCTGTTTGTTAAAGCCATCCACTTGTGGTATGTCTGATACAGCAGCATTAGAGAACCAAGACATTCACTTTACCCCCTCCCACTATTTTCTTTGCTGCTACGGCTTTCTTTCAGTTCCTGGATACTGTACCTCCATTTTTTTTTTCTTTCGTCTACATTTTTTTTGTTTTAATTTTTGTTGTGATTTGGGTGAAAATTTACAATTTCATTTTCCACACAGCAGTTCATATTACACTGACTGTAATTTCCCACAACATAAGAGCTCTCTTCCTAGTTTCTCCTCATAGTTACCTCTTCCCTGTGTCCTTCCCTCCCATGTATTCCTTCCCCCGAGTATATACACTGCCCTTCTGTTCTCGCATGATTGATCTCTCCAAAGAGCATATGCACCTGATGTAAACGTTCAGCCCATATGTTGGTGTTTTATTTAGCTGAAAGCCACAAGAGTGAGTTCAATTCCAGACCTGAAGGGCAGCTAGGGGCATAGTCTCAGGAGTTTCACCAGGCTCTATCAGACCATGAAGCTGGGTCTTTTTTTTTTTTTTTTTTAATGAATTTGAGTTTTGTTCCACATTGTTCTCCCACTCTGTCGAGGATCTCCTACACAGATCTGCCTCTGAGTGGTTGACAGTGGTAGCTGGGCACCATCTAGTTCTTCTAGTCTCATGGTCATATAGGCTGAGGATCGCAGGGTCTACCAGTCCATTGGACTAATTTTTTCCATGCATCTTTGGTTTTCTTCATTCTTCTTTGCTCTGGGATGAGGAGAGACCCATTGTTGCATCTGGATGGCCGCCTGCAAGCTTTTAAGATCCCAAGCGCTACTCACCAAAGTAGGATGTGGAACAATGTTTTTGTGTAGTATGTTATGCCACTTGGTCCCAAGCCCACAGGTCCAACTACTCACTCCCTCCAGGTAGTTGGCTGTGGTCAAGAAGTCACCACACCTTTGTCCCTTGTCAGCGCTACTAAACCAAACCAAACTCCCTGCTGTCGAGTTGGATCTAACTCAGAGCAACCCCTCCTTGGGTTTCTGAGGTTGTTTCACTACAGAGGTAGATTGCCCAATCTTCCTTCTAAGGAGTGGCTGGTGGGTTTGAACCGCCAGACTTCTGGTTATCAGTCAAATGCTTTAGGCACTGCGCCACCACAGCTCCCTTCAGCTTTACTAAATCAAACCAAACCAAACTCACTGCTGTAGAGTTGGATCCGACCCATAGCAGCCCCTCCTTGGGTTTCTGAAGCCATATCACTATGGAAGTAGATTGCCCAAACTTCCTTCCAAGGAGTGGCTGGTGGGTTTGAACCTCTAGCCTTCTGGTTAGCAGTCAAATGCCTTAGGCACTATGCCACCAGAGCCCCTTCAGCTCTACTATATACCTGTAAATTCTTACAGAACATTCAAATATGCTTGTAGAAACATTGCCTGCCAACCCTATCATGGTCATGAGCATACCCTCCCCCTGCCTAGACATACCTCATCGTTCAACCTGTCCACCCATCTATCCACCTGTAGATCAGTATTTGCCATCACTGACAACACAGTACTGTATGTGCAAAAAGGTTCATCTTTCTTGTCTGTATTTCCCATGTACCTCTCTATGTCTTCCTCTTCCTTAATGCCACTGTGTTGATCACTCACGTTTGGTACATTACCCTTCCCTTCATCCAAATCAATACTTGTCTCTACCTATCTAGCAGTGTTCCCTCCCCTCCCATCCCACCCCTGGTAACCATCAAAGAGAATTTCCTTCCATATATAAACCTTTCCTTGACTTTTCACAATAGCAGACTAATACAATATTTGTCCTTCTGGTACTGACGTCACTCAGCATTATGTCCTCCAAGTTCATCCATGTTATGTGGTGTTTTGCAGATTCTATGTTATTCTTTAGGGTTGCAAAGTATTCCATTGTGTATATGTACCATAGTTTGGTTATCTATTCTTCTGTTAATGGGAGCCTAGGTTGTTTCCATCTTTTTACTATTATAAATAGTGCTGTGACGAACATGATTATGCATATACCTGTTCTTGTCCTGGCTCTCACTTCTTTAGGATATATACATAGTAATGGAATTGCTAGCATACCTCCACGTTTTGCCCCTTCCATTCTACTCACACATCCACATCCCTAGCAATCCATCCTCTACAATGTAATCAGTGTCATCTTCCTAAGAACAAATGTGGCCATTTGTTAGTGGCTTCTTTTTATCTACAGACTAAAGCCTGCTCCTTAGTCAAGAATTCCACTCCTTTCAACCAATCCTTCTCTCTGGGCTGAGTTTCTCTCATAGAGCACTCTTCCCCACTCTAAGTTGTATCCCTGCTAAACTACATGCCATTCTTCAAATTGCGTGAGGATCTCTCAAAACTCCAAGCTTGCTCCCTCCCTCTGAAATTCCTCCTTCCTCTTTGCATTTTAAGTAGAGGTCTACATCTTTCAAGACTCAAATCAGTAATCATCATCTCTTGTTCACCATCAGTTCTCAAGTAAAGTTGGTCTTTCTTCCTTTTCTCTCCACTGCTCCCTGCACAGATTTTTATCTCAGTACCTATGCCATTTCATTACTTTTGTTTGTTTATGTGGAGGCTATCCTTGACCCTTACTAGCCTTTTTTTTTTTTTTTCCAAAGTCAAGAGCAATGATGGGTTCCTTATACAAGATTATTGAATGAACAAAGGAAGGAAGGAATGAATAACTAATGTAGTAGACGTCAGATTCTTTCAGTAATATCCCCCGCTTACCTAACTAAGTTCTCCTTGTACATAACACTGGTCTGGGATGGGCTCAGGGTTATGTTGCCATCTCTGTCACAGAAGAAGCTGTCTTCTGTCCAAATGTAGTAGCCATTGGAGAGGAGTCTGGGGCTTCGACGACAGGCAATGTGAGAACCTGTCAGAGGATCTATGGAACAGCATTCAAAAGAACTGTCACCATCCAGGAGATCACAGGCAAAACTAAAGAGGGAAAAAGGAAAGTCTTTTAAGTCTCTATCCAGTACTGTTAAGGAAAACAACTTCTTGCATTCATGGCTACTTAATGTTACTTTCACCATCCTAAAAATGTCACTCTTAATCTTCTGAGCTTCACCTCCTCACCAGGCAGAGTACTGAACCTATGGGACCTTTAATGCTTCTTTCTGTTTTAAACTTTGATGGAAACACTATGGATACTCAGTTTCTTTACCATATAATGAACTTACAACCTTGACATCATTTTGTTTTCTTGTGTGGAAAATTGCAAAACAGTCTTATGTGCTGTGGGGAGCTTGTAATCCATTTCATTTCCTTTTCCTTGAAGGGCTCACTGATGCCAGTCCTTATTCTTGTCACTGGAATGAATGATAACAATGCATCTACCAGCCACATATGAGTTATATGGTGAGTATACTGTCAGAGCTATTTTATTGGCCTTTGCAATTTTCCATAGGGCAGCTGCACCAATGGTTACGCAATTCCCATCCCTGATTCAGCATCTAGCATTATCTTGTACTTAGTTGGGTGAATCTGTATGTGTCAGGTTTAAAAGCCAATCATGTGCCCATATGGTTGAAAAGCAACCACAATTATGGAGATATTCTGGAAATTTTTAAATTCTTGAGATGGGGTTTGGTGGAAATAGTTACAAAGCCAAAATGTAGACAGGAATATATTGTTTCTTCAGACAAAATTACTTGTTTTTCTCTCTCCTCCCACAAAAATTACTTTTTTTTCTCCTAAACTCTCATCTCAACAGACCTCATTGTGATTTGTGCGTATGTACGGCTGCCTTCATAATTACTTTATAAGTTTCTGAAGGGCACGGGCTGTGTGCCTAACAGATGTAAAGGATGTAGATAAATTCAATCCTAGTTGCTGAAAGAAATCACCTCACAGGTATGGACATCTTTCTAGAAAATATAGTTCTGACTATGTCTGAATTATCAGGGCAGTTTCACGTCAATCAATCAATATCACTAATAATGGCACTCATGCTTTTTGCCTTGATGTTTTCAAAGAACTTCTATAGATATTTATTCCACTTAATTGCATGAAATTGAGAGCATACCCCTGCTGTATTTCTGACAAGTGTTGTCTGGCCTCTGCTTGCACACCTTCAGTGATGGGACCTCACCACTTACCAAGCCACTCTCCTCTACTGAACAAGTATGGACTGGAGTGTGGTGGGAAAGACCCTGAATTTGGAATCAACCCTCCCTCCATCCATAATCCCAACTCTGCCATTGATGACTCTGCCATGATGAACTGAGTCACTTCGCCCACAGTGTGACCTTGATACTCATTTCCTCCCTTTCCTTTCTTTGCATTCTGTCTTCCATTTGAGAGCAATTTAGCTTTTTGGAGGGTTCCCATGTACTCCCTGCGTCATCTCTTCTCCCTCCTAAAAATCTTCCAGGTCATTTAGTGCATCTTATATGACATGTTGTGGTTTTGATCACCTCAATATCATGTGTCTTATTGCATTCATCTGAGTATTTTTCCATTTTTAAAGCAGCCTTAATGTTTCACATGAGCATAGAACCCAATCCTGTATGTGTATCTACCCAGCACAGATGAGAGTGAGACTGTCACCTCCCTCATTATAGAATCCATGCCTTTATTGATAAAGTTTAGGATCATGTAGCCCCACACCAAACCCTAACAACCTGCTCAACTGCCCAAAGACAAAATCTTTTCTTTCTTGTGAGGCTACTAGCAAGACCTTGAAGAATTGGTAGGGTTACACCTCACAGGGCAGCATAAAAACCTGTCTGTGAAGGGACAGACACCCCTGGAGGTTTAAAGAAAATGTGTATAATTATTCACGCAATGACTATAAAATATCTGTCCTCCTTTTATACATCTCCTTCAAGCTCTGTTGAGTTTCTGATACTTTCTTTTCGATTTAAAAGCTGTGTACAATTAATACATGCACTTAAGTTAGTGAAATGCCTCTTAAAATAAATATTTATTAAAAACTTACTATGGGCCTAGCCCAATGCTTTCCGCCTTACTCTTCACAAACTTGCCTGAGAGCTAAGTCTTACTGGCCTCACTGTGTAACAGGAAAACCAGAAGGGACATGCAATACAGAAGGGAAAATAACTTGGCTATTTCATATAGTTAGCAAGTGGCAGAGCTGAGATTTGAATCCTATTCTATCTGCTGCTAACACATGGACGCTTCACTTTGTGCCAGTTCATCCTTAGCTGGTTCATTTGGGAATAGCAGGAAGCCTAGAATTTACAATTAGGTGCAGGTTCTAATACCAATGCACAATCCCCTTATACTATTGGCACATTTCCCTAAATGCCTGGGGAGTGGGGGAGGAAATCACCTGATGCTTCCAAGAGTAGTGCAAGCCGTAGAAGAAGGAAGGAAGGGAAGGAAAAGAGACTTCATTGCACAAAACAGTAAACTTGAACAAAATGATAGGCTCTATTTTTTAGTGGAACATTCAATTTGCCTTATACTTTAGTTTAGAATCGTATTGCTCTTGCAAACATATTTAAAGGAATATCAATTTTAGAAGAAATAATCATATAGCAGTATTCTGTAATGTCTCCACTCACCAAATAATAATTCATACTGCCACACGCTTGCACTCATGCACACACACACACTCAATATTGTTATGCAAGTATTCATTTTGAATGTATATGGGACTGAAAATATATAATTATTAAAAAAACTGGATGAAAGCCAACAATAATGTTTTTAAAGCAGGCTTATAACAAATAAGACACACAGGCAGAGAATTTGGTTGACTTTTCCTAGGAAAAGCCAATGGGATACCTTGGGAAAATGCACATGGGAGACAGCTCTCCAGCGTGTTCTCTCTCCGACCCAGAGGATCCTGCATAAGCAAATGGCAGAGATGTGGAAATGTATCACAGCTTAGCAAAGTGCATGAACACAAACACTGTAGACATATAAAGAAGGTGTTCCAGGCTGACGTCCCAGACTCAGCTGAAAGACTTAAATGGTGCCAACCTCCAATGAATCAGTACTAACAAAACTTGTCACCAGGCCTCTGTGGGAGCAAGAAATCATGTAGGGGCATGTGTCTTCTGTCTCTAGTCTCACACAACACTCCTGTAGATGTTCTTTAGAGTGGGATGAAGTGATAATAAATCGTTAGCATCAAAATGAGTTCATGACAGTGAGGATAAAAACTTGTACGAAGCTGTAGGAAATCAAACTAAATCACACAATGTGTTGGTTATTTCAGCTGACTCAGTAATTTGAGTAATTTAATCATATACTCAGATTCTCCCTCATTAGTACATTTCTGGGCATTTTCATTGCAAAATAATGAGTAAGAGACATTGGCGGGAACATAAAAAAAATTTTATACATAAATGATTTTTCAGTGTAAGAAGCCAGTGAGTATTCCTAATTAGGAAATACAAAGAAAAAGAACCATTCGTTCACACCAATTAACTAAAAGAATGGCAACAGACTTCAGTGAGGGAGGGTTGCAGTTACTCAATATTTTAAACTCTAAAGTAGAATTTTATAATGCACAGTGACAGTGCCAATACTCCTCATAGACAGGCTCAGTACAACTTGATTCCGTTACGGAAAATGAGTATGCAAGACAAAGGAAAGAATTTAGACTTTCAGATTGGGCTGGTTGATTTGTAAGGAGGAAATCGTGGCTGTGTAAGGGAGGGTTAGAAGTGGGGTTTTGAGAGAAAATAACAAGAGGAAGGAAGACATTTAAAACACTACCGTTTTAACAACGCCCTTATATTTTGCAAGTAGCAGTAGCTATCAAAATCATTCAGTATTTTTTTATAGACAAACAGTTTTGCATCTTAATAGTAGCTGATAAACAATCTCCGTTCACATTTATGCACAGGCATCTAAAAAAAAAAATAGGTTTTTTTTTTTTTCCTCCCTACTAAAAGGAAAAAATACCACGTTTCTCTCAAGGAAAGAAATGAAGTCAAAATCATTGCCAGAGTGAACGCTGGCATTTAAGAAGCACAAGTGACTAGCAGATGGTTAATGGTAGGAGTATCAGCAAAATCAAAGTAAGGAACTTGCTAAAAGGAGCCTAATCGTTCAAAAGATAATTGCGTATCACAGTCTTCCTGCATTTACTTGCTACTGGCGCTGACATCAGTTGAGATAGTCGGTACATGTTGGGAAGGCCACTTGTTCAAATTCACAGATTTTCTGAAAAAGACATTTAAAAAAAAGGTGGATTATATTCCAAAAATAGAAATGTAGTGCCAAAACAGATGGTGCCTACTAATTGTACTCAAGTCAGATTTGTTTGCTGAAATAGTACAGAGATACAGAATTGAAGACAAGAGACTAAACTAAAGAAGCACAACTAGGGTTGCGTTTGTCTCTGTGATTTTCTTTTCTGTTAAATGTTGTTGTTGTTGTTAGGTGCAGCCCAGTTGATTTTAGCTCATGGCCACCTCACGTGATAGGGCAGAACTGTCCAGGGGGCTTCCTAGGTTGTAATCTTTACAGGAACAGAAGCAGACTGCCAAGTTTTAACTCTCCTGAAGCCGCTGGGTGGGTTCAAACCACCATCAACCTTTCAGTTAGCAGCCGAGCACTTAACTGCTGTGCCACCAGAGCTCCTTCTTCTTTGAAACAAGAACATTATTTTATTTGGAAAAGCTGAGCCTTACTGAAACAGTTATTTGATGAAGAAAACTAGAGAATGATTTGTATTTTAATCATCTAACGCAAATCAATCATCATCATCAAGTTTCAAACAATACTTGAGGATTGGCCTACGTCTTTTGCCCAACAAATTATACCATTGACAGGTTGTCATCACAGAGGACCAGGGCTGTTTTGTGGTTGGTATCATTCCAGGCATTCCTAAACAGCATAAGTACCAGTGCACTAAAAATAGAATCCCTGGGCAGCTTTCAGAACGCGGTTTCCATGAACTTATAACTTACTCTCTCAAATGCAAATTAAACACGAATTAAAGTACGTAAGTTAGATGAGCTTTGATCACTTACCAGTCATCACATGGACCTACTTTCTGTTCATTATTAAACTTTGTCAATATCACTGTCCTAAGAGTTTTATAAAGTGGAACTAAATTTTTTTCTGATTCATGACCTCTATCTTCATTCTTTCAAACATAACTAGTAATGGATTGTTTTGTAGTTGTAATACAATCAATCAAATCAAGCTAATGCTACAACTCCAAACTGATTCTTTAAGAAATTATATAAAACCTGATAGCAAACATAGTTCTCAGCTTATAAAGACCTTTGTGGATGTCAGAACTTTTTAGCTTTCATTTGGAGATCTCTAAATCAAAGCACACTTACAAATTTAATTTCTTTGGGATATCAGATATGATATCTTATCACTTGGCCCTTTTTATTTTTGATTAATGCAATATGAATATGACCAGCCCAAACTGCCCTATGCTAGTTTTTCCCAAGCAAGAAGTTTAATTTTAAGCTAGCAAGTCCTATGGCAGATAACCAGGTCGTAGTGCAATAGCTTACAAACACTGACAGTAGTCAACAGGAGAATGCTGTACAGAACACAGGCAGAATACTGACAGTTGAGAATTAGCAACACTGCAAAAGCTGAAGTTACTGCTCAAAAACTTTTCAAGAAAGAGATCTTATCACCGGTTCCATCAAGCAACATATCTGTTCTGAAAAATAATTTCCCCATCATATTCTTTCCAAAGGGAGGTCTGACTCCTCTTGCAACGGATAAATGGCAAGACAATTACACAGACGTGATGCTTCCAGTGGTTGGCAGTCAGCAGAGAAAACCAGGACTTAGCAGTTCTTCAGCTGAAAGAATATTCGAGTGTCAACAGGTGCAGAAGCCTCTCAGGGAAGGGAAATCCCACCTTTCCCTCCTTTCAATAGGTGCCTACACAGATTGGCAAGTGCAGGCATTTGCAGAGAGAAGTCGTTCTGTCTCCAGCAGCCTCTTGTTCTTTGGCCGCTTCCTAGAATAGAAGAGCATGTCGTTCTTGGGAAAGTCAGCCTTACAATCTCTCTTGTTTCCTTTCAAAAACAGCTTTCGTAACCGGAGGCAGAGAGGCAGAATGAGGTCACACTTCCTGCCCGGCTCACATCAGAGGCTTTGAGGCTTTCATGCCGAGGAGCAGGGTGAAGGTGGAGATGATTTCCAGCAGACTTGGAGGCCCTGAGCCAGGCCAGCTGGAGACACACCGCAGCTCTGGGAATCCTTTCTGAGCTAACCTGTCACTCCTGGCTGCAAGCACACATAAAAAAATTCAGGTCAAGCCACCACTCATTACTTGTCATCTTCTGGCCAATTTCTGTTCTGGGTAGTCAGGGTACTTTGTCCAAATCAGTTAAATTGTTAGGGCTACTGTGCCAAGGCTGGAGCCACCAGCATTTCAAATCCCAGCAGGTTGCATGTGGTGGATAAGTTTCAGGGAAATTTCCAGACTAAGACCGACCTAGGAAAACGGGCCTGGGGATCTACTTCCAAAAATTAGCCAACGAGAACACTGTGCAGCCTAACAGAATATTGTTTGATAGAGTGGCAGAAGATGAGCCCACTAGAACAGAAGGCGCTCAACATACACAGTGGCTGTAACAATGGACTCGAACACACCATCCACCATGAAGATGGCACACAGGACTGGACAACATTCATTCTGTTGTACGTGGGTTGCCATGAGACGCAGCCAACTACGTGTCAACTCACAGCAACAATTACACAGTACTGATGCTATGGCGTTCTGAATACTACTAAATACCAGGAACTTGAGTTGATGAATATCTCTACAGTGGCAATATGCTGATTCATCAAAGATTGGGCTTTACATAGAACTCTATAGATTGCATACTATACTTTATACTTTAGTGGAGCTCACCAAACTTGATGTTGTTTGAGGTTGCCTTCACATCACTGCTATTGTAAGCAACAAAGAAATCTGTGTTTCAGTGACACTGAGATAGGATTGGGTAGTGGAGAGAGCTTGGATTTTGGAAGTACATAGACTGGGATTCAAATGTCTATCATGCTGGTTGCGTGACTTCAAATTTGTGGCTTAACCTCTTTGAGTTGCAATTTCCTCAAATATAAATGTAACAATACATACTTTACAAGATGGCTTGGAGAGAATTTAAGGAGATAGAAGAAAAGGGAGAAAAAGGAAAGTAAGAAAATGAAGAAACAGATAGGAAATAACTGAGTACTGAAGTGTACAAGATTTATTCCTTATCTTCTCAGCTGATAACTGAAAGGTTGGAAGTTCAAGCCCACCAAGAGGCACTTTGGAAGAAAGGCTGGTGATCTGCTTCCAAAAATTCAGCGACTGATATCCATGGAGCACAATTCTACTCTGACATGCATGGGCTCACCATGACTCAGAATTGATTCCACTAGTTTCACAGGACTCTTTAAATGATAGTGGGCTTTGTGGCTATTCACCAGGAAACTCTTCTCACCATTTATCCAAATCATTTTCTCTGGGAGACTTTCTGTCATAAAACACCTTCTAAGAACTATGTTCTAGGGTAGTTCTTCACAAACTTTAATATGCTGGGAATCATCTGGGGACCTTGTTAAAGTAAGTAGGTCTGAGATGGCAATGTTGTTGTTGTTGTTGTTTGCCATCAAGTCGGCCCCGACTCATAGCGACCCCTCCTTGGGTTTCTGAGGCAGTATCACTATGGAAGTAGGGATGCCCAACCTTCCTTCCGAGGAGTGGCTGGTGGGTTTGAACTGCCAGCCTTCTGGTTAGCAGTCAAGTGCCTTAGCCACTATGCTACCAGAGCTCCTGAGATGGCAATAGATTCTGCATTTCTAACCAGCTCCCAGGTGACCCCAATGCTGCAAGTCCTCAGGATGCTTTTTTTTTTTTTGTAAACTCTTATTGTGGTGAACCCCAAACATTCACCGATAAAACAACTTCCACATTTACAGCTAAGGAACATTGGTGACATTTTTCATGTTGTGCCACCATTACTGCTATCCTTTCCCAAAGTATTCTACAACCATTTGCATAAACTCAATGCCCTGCAAACAAAAGCATCACCATGGGGTAGGTGTTCTACATGTAGGTCTTTCTACTGTTGGGCTGAGAACCAATCCACAGAAGTGAGTCCATTTCTAGGCCTGAAGGGTAACCTGGGGCCATAGTATCAGGGGTTCCACTAGTCTTTATCCAACCAGTAATTCTGGTCATTTTTGTGTTTTTGAATTTTGTTCTACATTTTTCCTCCCACTCTATCCAGGATCTCCATGTACTTTTATCATAACCATTAACTTTTATTGCTAGATGTGGTGGCTTTGCAACGGATTGATTTGGCAAAGCTAACCTACATTTTATGTACGAAGCATGAATCTAGGAAAATTGGAAGTTGTCAAAAATGAAATGGAATGTATAAAGATTGATATCCTAGGCATTAGTGAGCTGAAATGGACTGCTTTCAGCCATTTTGAATCAGACCACCACATTGTCTACTATGCCAGGAATGATAGTTTGAAGAGGAATGGTGTGGCATTCATCACCACGAAGGATGTTTCAAGATCTGTCCTGAAGTACAATGCTGTCAGTGATAGGATAACATCTATGTGCCTACAAAGAAGACCAGTTAATATGACTATTATTCAAATTTATGCACCAACTACCAAAGCCAAAGATGAATCCATTGAAGATTTTTTATCAGTTTTTGCAGTCTGAAATTGTCCGAACATGCAATCAGGATGTGTTAATTATCACTGGTGACTGGAATACAAAAGTTGGAAACAAAGAAGAATAATTAGTAGTTGGAAAATTTGGCCTTGGAGACAGAAATGATGCTTGAAATCACATGATAGAATTTTGCAAGACCAATGATTTATTCATTGCAAATACCTTTTTTCAACAACACAAATGGCAGCTATACACGTGGACTTTGCCAGATGGGAATACACAGGAATCAGATTGACTACATCTGTGGTAAGAGGTGATGGAAAAGCTCAATATCTTCAGCCAAAACCAGACCAGAAGCCAATTATGGAACAGACCCATTAACTCCTCATATGCAAGTTCAACTTGACATTAAAGACAGTTAAAATAAGTCCACAAGAGCCAAAATATGATCTTAAATATATCCCTCCTGAATTTAGAGATCATCTGAAGAAAAGATTTGATGCATTGAGCACCAATGACCGAAA